CCCGCCCCGCGGGCCTGAGGGGGCGAGCAGGGCCTGGCGGGAGCCCGGCGCGGGGCGCGTGGGAGGCCTGGCTGGCATACTGTCCTCAGCAGGCACCCCAAAACTCCAATGGCCAGTGCGGGTGGGCCGGAGGGGTCCCGGGCAGCTCTGCTGCTGGGCAGGAGGGAGGCGGTGGGCCCCGAGAGGGCAGCCTGTGCTGTGGCAGGCCAAGGATCGCCCCCCCCGTTCCCGGCGCTTCGTTTCAGCTGCGTGGGCACAAACCCACGGCTCCATCCTCCGCTTCCTCCCCAGGGCTGGGCCACTTTCCAGGCTGTCTCCAGCCCCCTGGGAGATGTGGGGCTTGCCTGGGGGAGGCAGGAGGGAATCCCTGTTTACAGGAACCAGGGGCGGGCGGCTCTCCAGGCCGGCTGACTGGGGCTTTGTGCTGGAGCACAGGGCGCCTTTTCTCTGCGCCGGTGCCTGCCCACACCCGCGCTGCCGCTCTCTGCATCCTGGGGAGGCCAGCACGGTCGAGGTGTATCTCGCGCAGGCGAGAGGTGCCGGTTTTGCAGCCTGCTGAGCTCTGTTGAGATCCTAAAGCAAGTGGGAAGAAAGCAAGTTAACGTGTCACCACTGGCTTGGCGGTTGTGCCCCCCACAGCCAGGCTCCCCAGAGGGGAGTACAGAGAAGGACGGGCCCTCCGTGTGCAATCACCAGTCAAACTCAGTCCCAAAGTGGATTGCCGTGCCTCTTCTGGGGGGGCACAGACTTGAGTTTCCAGGCCTCTGCTCTCTGGCCTGTTTATTGTCTACACGTTTTCCATCTGACCTCTGTGGTGTAGGAAATGGCCGATCTTTTCGGGTGCTGGTATGGGCCTGGGTAACGGCAAGTCCTTTCCTCGACTTGGAATGAGCTGTGGGCTGGTAGCAGTGAGCAACAGAGACTCTCTTCCAGACCCTGTTCACCATGCAGAGATGGAGCAGAGCACCACAACAGCACCCGAGATTTCTACAAATGTCATACTCCTCCCAGGTCTCTCTGCACAAGCATATGCTTAGCTCTTGTTGCAGTTGCACAGATATTTAGGGATGAGTGAACACAAAAGATGTTTCCCCCTCCCAGCAGTTCCCCCCAGCCAAACCAAATTGCTTGGCAGATCTGGATCCTTGGGGAGGATCAAAGCCTCAGGGCTGGTCTGGCAGCACTCCACGCTGTTTACATGTATGGATATTCATGGCACTGTTAACCCCAGACCATTTAATAATACTGAATTTCGTATTTATTACATTTCTTAAATACCATCTAAGGAACCTCAGTTTCCTGGGGTATTCCCAATGTTTGTTTGTAGGGCAGAGAAGGCCAGCTGTCTGTGTAGCCATGCCTCATCATTTATTCTCTTGCTGTGTTACTGGGGTCTCTCTTGCTGCAGTGGCAGCGTCTTTCCACAGAGCCAACGGCTTCCTTCGGCTTTGCCTTGTGTGCAGCCTGACTGTCCAGCCTGAGCAGGGAGCAAACACCTTGCTTTCAAATCTCACCATTTCCTTTCAGCAGCAGCAACTGAATGTGACTCCCTCTGGCCAGAGTGGGCTGAGTCTCTTAAGTCCCTGCAACAGCCCCATCACTATGAGAGCCGAGGACTCAAAAAGAGAGACCTTGCTTGTGCTAATGGCTGTCCTCTGGGGCATCCTACCCAGCCTGCTGGTCTCTTCACACTGAATGGCACAGCAGGAACGTGATCTGGGGACTACCTCCAGAGAAGAAGGGCTTTTTCTCCAGGCAGTAGCAAAGCCTCAGGCTGTCCCCCTCCCTCCTAGGCTATCTTGAGCTTTGTGATCCTTTGTTTGTCCTAACTCCCCTTGAGCCATTCCCTAGAGCACTCCCCAGTCACAACAATTAGAGGGTTTCTTTCTGTCCTGAGCCAAACAATCTTCAACATCCTGTCCCTTCCCTTCACTTTGGCTGCTTTGTTCTCCACCCCCAACAAAATCTCCTTAGCTAAGCACAGCGGCCTTTTCCTCCTTCATCTCAGCACTTCCTCCTTTGCTACCCTTGGCCCATTTTCTTCAAGAGCCACTGCACCAATGGAGGAACAGGACCCCTTTACCCAGACCCCAGCCCATGATATAAGCATCGCTGCGGCTGCCTGGCCCCACGAGGAAGAGGCAGCTTGTGCGACAACAGGACTGTCCAGCCGCCACCTCCAGAAAGCTCTTGGACGCAATGAGAAGCCCAAGCTTTCTCTCGGTTGTGTGGGGTTTTACTGCAGGCTCCTTGCGGGGTTCCAGCGAGGAAAGGGCAGCTGTGCTTGCCTTGTTTGGATCTTGTTTCATTATCAGAAAAGACCTGCATCAGCCTGTCTGTCACTGGGTTTGAACGTGCTGCCTCTCACCAAGCAGGAGCCTATTGCCTTTCATTTCTGGGATTTCACTTCTAAATACTGAGCGGTTCCACAAATGTGAGGGTCATTTTGTTTCAGGTGTTTTCCTCTCCTCCCGGCTGTCGGTGCCCTGAGATTATAACTGTGAGCATGCACAATGCCCTGGGCCTATGGCGCTGGAGCCAGCGGGGAGATAAGAGGCCAGCTTGGCTGCAGCGCTCCGGCTCTGTCGTACCGCCGTGCCGCACAAAGGGACGGCGCTGGCCAGAGCAGGAGCTGCAGCTGGAGAACTTTGTGCTTGAATTGCTCTGGGTTATGAACCCTCGCTTGTGGGGCGACAGCTGCCAGCCCGGCCCCGGGGCAAGGGGATGCGGAGGAAGTGCCACGATGGGCGAAGCTGCCTTTCGTTCGGACCCGCTGGCTGTGAGCGGCACGTGGTTTTGTCAGTGTGCAGAGCAAGGTCCAGCCATGCCTGGCGAGCTAGCATCCACCATGGTGCAGGCAAAAGCAGCTGGCAGAGTGGTGAGAATGGGTGGGAGGGCTCAACGGCTTCATCCACAGTAATTGGCGGCCCGTGGCATGCGGCTGCACAACCACGAGATGCCGGGATGTCTCTGCTCGCAGTGTTTATTCTTTAGGATGTCCCTGTCACACACCCAGCTGCTGTGATTATTAATTACTATTTATACTTTGCTTTGTGTGTGTGCTGCATTTTAAAGACCAGCAGAGGTGGGAACCCTGCCCTCCTGGAGGCTCCCAGGCTAGGTGGGAGGGCAATAGCTGCAGTGTGGCCTCCCTGGGACCAGGCGGTCGGGGGGGGTCCCTCGTGCTGTGCTGGGAGTGCATGCGGCAGGGGACACCGGGAACAGCGGGTGTGCAGGTGTGTTCAGGGGGAATTGCACTAATGCCTGCCCATGAAGTCTGTACTGCAACTGGTGTTCAGGCTATTGCAGGGATTCCCTGATGGTATGTGCAGGGTGCTTGGCCAGGCAGTGATGGCTTCTCAGTGCAGAGGGGTATTTTACAGTGAGGAGCTATTTTTTGGTGCCCACAGCAGTGTCCCCTGTGTGCCAGCCCTGCTGCTGGACTCTGGCTCCCAGGTCTCCTTCCCACCCACCCCAGCAGCTCCCAGTTAGCTGGAGGCAGACGTTCATCACAGTGTGTGCCTGGAGAGGGAATGTAGAACTACACTGTGTCGGTGCTGCTGACAGAGGGTGGGTTGGGGCTGTCACACGGCTGCCAAAGGGCCACGCTGCTGGCATGAACTTTCCCCTGGTGAGTGGCCAAATTTAGGCACAGCCGTCTCCTGCCCCCAAAGTGGGTTTTGGCTGTGCGGGTTGCACTGGCCCACACGCCTCTGGTGCTTCTCTGCTGTGGTTTTCCAAGCCCAGGCTCAGTCACAAGCTCAGCTGAAGGAGGGGTGTGAAAGCAAGGCCAAGTTCCCATGCTGCACTCTGGGGCTGGGGAGCTCACTGCTCCCCTGTAAGCCCAGGAGCTGCAAGCTTTCCTACCTCCCTGCGTGGCAGGAGGAAAAGCGGAGGCCAGGCAGGTGGAGGGGTCCCTTGGTACCCAGGACAAGATCCTCGTTGGATGGGTGCTCTTCTTCTGCCCTGCCAGCACCATTGCGATGCCTAAGCAGTGCCGTGGCCATGGCCTCTTATCCCTGGCCAGGCATCTGGGAAGGGCCATCTCCCTGCCGGTGGTGGTCAGCAACTGCCTCCTCCTCACCAGCACAGGGCCCAGCCATGCCGTGGGCTTGTCTGGAGCAGGGGGAAAGGGTCATGCTGGGATGGGGGACCCCTACCCCTGGGCTGGGGAGAATCCCAGTCCCTACAGTGGTACATCCCTACAGCTGAGGCTCCGTTGAGCACCGCCAGAGCCTGGCAAAACCCTGCTGGCCCTGGTTGTACAGGTTTAATGACGTTGCAGTGCTCGATGGACTTGTGATCCATTCCTCAGATCGCAGTATTTTGGAAGGGCTGAATGCCTCTGTCCATTCCCATCTGGCGAGGGGGACGAGAAGCCTTCATCAGGCTCTGGCGGCACACTGGTGAGGGCAACCCCGTCACCCGGGCAGGAAGGTTCGCGCTCTGACTCTGTTTTGTCCCTGTGGTACCGCTTGCTTCCTCTTTTTTTTCTCACACATGCTGCGGTAAAACCGTGTGCGCCCCGTGTTTGGAGCAAACAACAAACCCACGTCATGTGTTTTCGCTTTCTCTGTTTCCTTGCCTCCACGTGTTAGAAATGTGCAGCGTCCGTGCACTTTCCGTTTGGTACAAACAGAGCACACTCGGTCGCCAGCAGAGATGGCAACAGATGGTTTGCATGGGCGCCACAAAAATATTTTGGGCTTTGGTGAAGTGGGTCCCCCTCCCTCATTTCCAGACACTTCTTCTGGGGGGGGCAGTTTGGCTAGGGGAACCCTGGGGCAGTTTGTAGACAGCAGCAGAGCTAAGCAGGGATTTTCTGAAATGTGCCTGGCAGATGTCTGGGACTTGAAACTGTCTTGGAGGCTCTTGCCCATGCTGGGCACCAGTGCGCCAACCCAGGCCCTGCTGGGGACCTGGCCGCGGAGGTTTGGCCTGCCGCTGGGCCGCTGGCAGGGATGGCGTCGTCGGGGTTGTGGCTTAGCTAATTTGCTGGCACATCCCTCCTCCGGGAAATGCTGAGGGGGGACCTCCTCGCCTTTGGCCCAGGGCTGCTGAAGAGACCATGCTCGCCCCACTGCTTTGGCGGCCGGCATGGGGGCAATGCTGGCTGGGGCAAGGAGCCCCTGGCAGCACGGGGATCTGGGGTGGCCGATGCCTGCCCCGAGAGGGACTAGCCCACAGGCTGGTGCTGAGCTGGTGAGAGGTAGTGCTGGCCCCCGCAGGTCCTTTCCCAGGGAGTGGTGCGGGCCGTGAGCTGCGGCAGTCCTTGGCTGTCCCCTCCGCTCTGACGGGCAGCTCAGAAATAGCAGCTGGCCCAGTTCTCCCGCCCCCGTGGCCCAGATCTCTAAGAACGGAGGTTGCTCGCACAGCAACAGCAACAGCAGCAGCATCAGGCGCTGCATTTAGCCCATGAGCTCAAACAGCGGGAGACGCTGCCAGCAGGATCCCAGCCTGGCTGGGTGACGCTCCTGCTTGGAGACTGCGCTGCAGGCTCTGTTTGTTGCTGTAAACACGCTCGCTGCTGCAGCTTCCCTGTTACTATCTATAGCCGCGATCTCTTGGCTCCCGTGCAAGGCGAGTCTGCGGTCTGGCTCCCAGCTTAGCCTGACCTGAGCCAGGGCTGCCTGACATCCCCGTCGTGGGTGGGTGTCTCCGGGCTTCGCTGCAACAAGGATCAAAACAAAACCCAAACTGGAGGAAAGGACAAGCCTCACCCCTCGCTCCTCGCCGGTGGTTTCCCGGTGGCCCCCTGCCCGTGCCCTTGGCGGGTGTCCCGGCACCCCCGAGCGCTGCTCCCAAGCTCTCCCAACCTTCCTGGGGGTCTGCGGCCCCCCAGGCTTCCCTGGCAGCAGGGCTTCCCAGCGCCCTGTGCCAGTAGCCTCGCTTTCGACTATTACTCTGCGTATATAATAGACAAGTAAATAGTGCCACATAACGCGTTCCTCGCTGCAGGGAAGGGGGTCGGTCAGGCTTTCCGCACGTAGGGCCCGCCTTGTCCCCGTGCCCAGCTATGGGCAGACCCCGCTCCGTGCCGGGGACGGGGCCCGGCCCCTGGCCCTGCTTTGCCGCCTCCCTTGGAGCACCTTGCTCCGCGGCGGGGCTGCGCGGGGGCCCCGCCGAGCCGCGGTGCCGCCGGCTCCCCCCCCCCGCGGAGAGGGGGAGGGTGTCACCTGCGGCGGGACGGCGTCCGCGGGGGCAACGTCGGTCCGCCG